TTTTTTAAAAAAAGTGTGAATAAATTATGAAAACAAAAGAAAGTAATGAAAAATCGAATACTTCATCAGTATAAAAAATATAATTATTAAAAAGTCAAAATATAGACTCTTATCTTTTACATAAGAAATATAATACAGCTTTGGCCAAAAATAGGCACTTTATTAAACATGTTATGTAAGATTTTAACTAAAAAAAATTTATTTATGGAATTTACTGTAAATTATCCTTTGTTTCAAGAATCTTCTAAATTTACGGATAATATCGGTAACCAATGGATATAAACAATGGAAGTAAAAGAACTTCAGGTGAACGGAAAAAATATAAATGTCTAATATTTTTTGCCAAAACTGTATTAGATAATCCAAAAATAGGAACGGAATCAATATAAATCTTTCGGTTCTTCTAGTGTTAAAAAACTTTTTTAGCCGCTTATAATTTGACATCCCCTTTCGGAAATAGAAAATGAAAAATTTTCATCTTTTTATAGATTATTTCACCGATTTTAGACGCGTTCTTTTATATAAATTCATTCGTTTTTCGAACGAATCCGAATAAACTTATGATTGCGACAGGCGAGTAATTTTAATCAACGTACGGATGTGCGAATTCTCGCAGCAACAGGCTCGAAATTTTTCACCGACACGAATGATTAATTTCACCCTGATTTTTTTTTTGTTTGGTATTTTGGTATCTATGCACCGAACTTTTAATTTACTCGCGAGCATCGGCAATTTCGACATTCGCTATTTGCCAATGAAAAGGGTAAAGTAACATCCATTTTTTATTGTATACATATCTCTCGCAACCATCGCGATCAAATATGATGCATGCGTGGCTATAAGCGTTCGCAAAATACAGAGACTAGACACACGAGATTTTCCTGGTCGCGAATTCATCTCACATTCTCATTTATCGTTTGGGTTCATTCCAAGCAATCGCTATAGCATTGTCGAGTTTTTTTTTTACCCCGAATCGAGAAAAGGGCTTAAAAACCGTCATCGTTAACGCGTCTTTTCGCAGCGCGTCGCACGCAGTGCGAATTTTTTTTTTTTAATTCCATCGCGATGTCAATCGGACTAAGGGAGGAAAATCATTAAAAAAAACCAGATCCAGAGAAAAGCGTACGGATCGTTTGACGAATCACGAGGCGGCTCTTGGATATACCGACGTGGGAGGCGCACCGCGGGAGGAAACGAGGCGGGGAGGAGGGGATGATGTTTTTTTCCTCGGCGGCGCCTCTTTAATTTGCCCTCCAATTAACGGACGGGGTCCTATTTGAAAAATACCTGCCACGAGGGCTGGCAATTATACTTCTTCCTTTTTTTTGCGTCACGAGCGCGTTATTAGCGCTATCCGTCCAACCCCCGCTGTCTCCCCCCCCCCCGTCCCTTGCATTCTCCTTCTCTCCTCCGACTCTCGTTTGCTCTTTCCTTCCGCCCATCTCTCGCGCTCTCTCACCTATTTCCTCCACCTCTCTCATCCATTTTATCTTAGTGCATGTGTGCGAGCGCGAAGGGATGGGACAAGAGTGGGCGAGAGCGGGCGAGAGCGTATCCGCACGATTGTATGCGTTTTACGTGTATTGCGGAGCACGCGGGTGAAGTGATGCAGCGATGGGACGAGGGAGACGAAGGAAGGAAAAGGATAGGGAGAGATAACGAGATAGAGGAGGACAGGTGAGACGAAGAGAGAAAAGGGGGTGGCGGGTGGTAGCGAAAGAGAGAGAGAGAGAGAATTGGAGTGAGAGAGCGGGGCAGCAGTGCGGTGTGGTGGCTGCGGGTCGCGAGGGGCCAGGGAGGGTAGGAGTGGCGTTTATAACTCGTGCCCGGGTCTCCCGGCTTTGAGAAGGCCAATTAGCAGCATAAAGCTGCAGCTCGGCCCCGAGGCCGAGGATGTTTGTATGTAATAATGGATTGTTACTCAAAGTATCCGGCTAATTAATTAAGCCCCCGCCGCGCGTCCGCCCGCTTGTCGTCGTACTGAACGGCAACGATGGTGGCGGCGGTGGCGGTGGCGGTGGCGGTAAAGGGGGCGAAAGCAAAGTGGGCTGCTGGTCGCCACCCCCATACGTCACCCTCGCTCGCCAAGTGTTACGCGGATCACCTCGGAAGAACATAACTGCGTTCTCGCGATCTTCGCGCGGACGCAACGACCTAAATCGAATACAATCGCATTTTTAACTCGATCGCCTGATGTCGACAGCATAAATCGCGAATAACTTGCGGTTGAGAAAATGTCTCGGAGACAATCTACAGTGTGACGCACGAAATGTTCATTTAATTATCCAATTTTCAGGCTTTAGTAATCTTATATCTATTATTTCCGTATACTAAGGAAACAATTATTATAAATTTTATAAATATTTCTTTGAATAGTTCTAGCGGAATATTTACTAAATGTAAATACATATTTATTAGATACAAGAATCAATAGTTTGATTCAACTCAAATCATCATTTTTTCATTTATCTAAATATTTATTTATCGTAAGTAAATATTCCGCTAGAAGTAGTCAAAGAACTGTTTATAAAAATAATTTAACAAATTTTTTCCTCGGTGCACTAATTTTGTTAAAACTAAATGTGTTATTAAACAAGAGAAATAATATATTCGGTAAGGCGAATCTCAATGCTTAAATATTTCTATCCGAATTTATGTACGTTGTGATTTTGCAAATCGCGCGCCGAAATCTTTTTCGATTTTGAAACGCAATCATGAGTAAAACTTGAGTAGTAGTATCACTTATTAAATTGGCAAGCAATTTAATAATTTTTATTATTTTTAATACTAACAAGCATCTTTACTTTAATAAGAATATTACTAATCTAAATGTTAACGAATCATAAATCTGCGAGAAGTTTAATGCGAAAAATATTGTTCGCAGAATCAGATTTGTATATAAATTCATATAGAAATATTTAAGAATTAAGAGCCACTTTAATCGCAAATATAGGATTCGTCTCGTTCAATTAGATTTATTCTCATCGGTGTCCAAATTATTAAATATAAATGTGTTATATTTAAACTAAATGTTGGCATTTCGTATGCCACCTGTAGGTCCGTGATTTACGAGAGTTAAAAGATACAATTAAAATGTATCATTGTCACTCATTTTATTGTACGAATTTGAAATATAAAATAGAAATTTTGTGTGATTTTACACGAAACAAACAAACACACGGAATCAATTATTCATTGTTAACATTCCTGAGTGGGACGCAAAGGTTAAAGTTTAAAGTAGCACAGTTTATAGTATCATCTTAGGTAGAATAACGCTTTTAGTAGTTTCCCACTTGTAAGCACGAAATGCGGTTAAAATAATTGGCGCTGTGGAGAAATTTATTTTCGCCCGAAAAATGCTCGCTCAGCGCGAATGCTCCGCGAGATGGTTGAAAGACGGGCTGTTTCGGATGTCGGTGAGCGAAAAGAACAGAGAAGAGGGAGAGGGGTGAGAGCGAAACAAAAAAAGAAATGTTTTATGCACCGTGAAAGATTCCGGAGGCGCTCGTGACGTAGCGCGTCGGTGCTTATTGGAGTCTGAGTGTGCAAGAACGAGCGGCAGGCACGGTTCCAATTAGTCGCACTAATTATTGCGTGCTGTCAGCCACTTACGACGGTCGGAGACGCTTGTAACGGGCGGGATACGCGTGCATTGCACGCCAAACGTCCGCGGTGTGTCGGCCCTTAAAAACACGCGCGGATGCTCACGAGCCGTCAAAATGCGAGGGTAAGGTTCTCATTAACTCGGGAAATCAAATTTTGAGAATTTGACACTTCGAAATGACGCCGTATATGACGCTAGTCTATGAGCTCCTGTCGCTTTGCTGTGAATTTCATTTCACTCGTAAGTTTTAGGCATCTATTGATTATTTGAAATTTCACTTAACTCGATTTGGTAAAACGTCCGAATTCCCGTTGATATTTTTCACAATAAATTCTTTAGTGTTTTAAATATGCTAATTAATATCAGTAATATTCCTTATCAGTTTGTAATATTACATGCTGCAGCTTCAGTCTATAAAATTGTGTTTCAAAATAGATAAATAATCGCGCGTATTTGTTTGAACTCTGCAAATTCTAAAAACTTACACAAATATTATTAAACACCAAGACTCTATCTAATTGAATGGTTCTCTTCACTCATTTGTGTTGATCTTTTCTCGATTCGTTTTCGCTTAATATTGTTTGTTTTAAATTTTATCGTAATGCTAATCCTCCATTATAGCAACAGGTCATTTGAACTCAAAGCGAATATTTTAGATGGTTGTACATTCTGTTGATTGATACTGTGAGATTCTAAATGTTAGAAAAACCTTGAACCTCCTTCTATCAATTGTCATAAGGCGGAGGTTCATTGCATTTTATACTTCAAACAAGATAGTTAGAAATCTGGTTTAAATTATTAAAACAAGCATGAGAAAAATCATAAAATATTATGTAGTATATATCTTTGAAAGTATATTAATAATTCATCACGTTCATTTTGATATAATCATTGATTTTAAAACTTCGGTGTTGTTTTCGTAGTTATAGTTGAGTATTAGGGAATTGGAAAAACTAGAGAAGTATCTATCTGGAATATTTCTTTGTTTTTTAGCAATAATACGGAAGAATATATAATATTAAATTTATGCTGTCAAATTATCAAATTTGAGCATTTCTCAATCATTTCTATAGGTCGTCATTACTTTTACTTAATACGTCATCAATTTAACTAAAACAATGAAATTAAAGAATATGTTTTTCATTCAAATTTAATTTATTATTTATTAAGGGCACGTACGTTTGCATGAACGCTGTTTAGTTTGAAACTAGTAATGCGATATAAACGCAGAAAGGCGTTGATTGTATGTCATTTTTCAACCATACGTTTTGTATTAAAATAATACATTTTGACACTTGGAAATTAAAAATAACAACACATTATTTAAGGAATTAATTTAAACTCGATTCTGTAATATTTAACAGTGTAATTGTAGCGATTTGATTTGCTGTTCCAGACGGCGCCGTAGTTGAGATCACGATGACTATGGACGTGAGCAAATCCGAGACGAATAAAAATGGTTCGACGCAGCAGGAATGCGCCGGCTGCGGGAAGACAATTACGGAGAGGTAAACGACAACGCACACATATATACAATGTATTTTTGCATGATCTGTATCTCTTAAAGAAAACACTGTCTTCGTCTCTCGCCCTTTCTTTATTAATAAATCTGTTACATTCAATATTTTGTCGCAAGAATGTAGATATCGCTCTCCGATCTCTAAAGCGGCCCTCTCTCGCTTCGCTTAAAATATTTACAGTCAATGCTTTTGCGTAAATCTATGTTAAATATCAAGATAAGAGAGGTATTTTCCAAACTTAACGGCCGGTAAGAACGAAAACTACGGTCGGTCCTTCAGGTACCTCCTCAAGGCCCTGGACCTCTACTGGCACGAAGACTGCCTCAAGTGCGGATGCTGCGACTGTAGGTTAGGCGAGGTCGGCTCTACCCTCTACACCAAAGCTAATCTTATCCTCTGTAAGAGGGACTACCTCAGGCTCTTCGGGAACACGGGATGCTGCGCGGCGTGTAATAAGCAAATACCGGCGTTCGAGATGGTCATGAGGGCCAGAACGAACGTCTATCATCTCGACTGTTTCGCCTGCCAGCAGTGCACTCATCGGTGAGTGCGAATGACAGTATTACCCTTATTACATTACTAGCTCCAACTCTATTAGTCAAGATTCTAGAATTATCTTTATTATTAGATCCGGTCCTTCTTGTAGCGAGATTCTCCTCGTTTATTCTCGTACCTTTATCTCGGTTTATGAATTTGTGTCTATGAAAGATTGTGAGTCTTATTTTGAATGTACTCTCTAAATTTCTCGGAGTAAAATTCCACTTGAAAATTAGAGTGATTAACGAATCACTAAAATTAGAATGACTTTTCATTCATATATCCCGTAAAATTAATAATATATGTTAAGTTATATCTAATTTTATATTTTTAATCATTTTTCTATAGGTCGCCACTGCTCTTACTATGTCTCACTATGTCGTTAATTTAATTAAAATAATGCAGTTAAATAATTTAACTGAAAAAAATGTATTAAATTTCACTGAAATGAGTTTATTATTTACTAAATGCGTACTTTAATATGGACTTTTCTGTAGTTGTTTAGTTTAAAAATAACTACAGAAAAATGGATTGATTTATACATTTGGACGTACATGGAAGTTAAAGATAAAATAAAATGTTATTTAATTCAAGGGATTGGGTTGCCATTACTCCTTCGATATCTAATAGTGTAGTGTGAAGTGAATTCTTCCACTCTATGTTACGGAGTAAATATTTTCATTCGTAATTAAAGAATGCAGAATCTGATATGCTCTACATCACTGTAACAATTGGAAACAGTGCACGCACCAACCACGAAAAAATTCAGCAAGTCACATTGTCTTGTCGATATCGTGTTTTGTTGAATCGATATTATATTGAAATGAGAGAGAGAGAGAGACAACACTTCTTGTAGAGATAAAATACAAAAATCTATGTATATTTAGTCCATAAATAATTTTTTAAGACTGGTTTCCTATTGAAGACATCAAGTTCTGATGTTTCATCATGTTTTGATGAACATTGACATTTTACTCTACACACACAAACGAATGAAACATTCACTATAATTAGAGTTAGACATTTTCCTTACGAAAAGTGAAATGTCACTTTATTCCGAATGTGTTTTCACTACCAATTGGAATGAAGTTCATTCGTTTCGAATGAGATTTCATTCTGAAAAATTTAGAGAGTAGAAAATTTAAAAATAAATACAGCGCTATATAGAGAACACATTTTATTTCGGTACTATGCAAGCTGCTACCCGCAGAATTATTTAAAAATTTGCGCTATTTTCTTGTATTGAACAACGGAATTTCAAAAACAGAAACAAAATTCGTTGAGGCTCGTCAATTATTAAAAATTACCGCGCGACGTAAAGCGCCGGACAGTCGAAAGACACGAATCGGCTGAATTCGCTTCCCGCCCTTTCAATCCCGAACTACCATCCTCCTTTATTTTCTACTATTCTCTTTCATGGCGATGCATCTTTCGCGTCGCGTAGATACACATATGTGAAGACGGCCAACGGTGGAAGAGACTACTGGTCCGCGAGGCAAACTTGATAGAGAGAGGGGTTAACGGGGATAGGTTGCTTTACAGGTCAGCTGGGAAATCACTCTGCGCTTTCCACACCATGACCTCTCTTTTCTTTCGCGATGCCGTTTTCTGGACCGATTTGATCGTGAAACCTCGCGGCACGTCTTCGCGCATCCCACGACTTCAGTCTCCATCTGCCAAAACGCGCGATATGCTATCCACTTCAACCATCTTTTGTTCGTTTTTATAAAACAAGCAAATTGTTCAAAACAAATAATTGAAATTTTTCATCGCTATAATATCGTTGTTTTATGCAATATATTAATAAATAAGGAAATAGTAATGGACGTATATTTCTATTTCATTTGTCAGCAATTTTGGAAGGAAGGAAAGAGAGAAAAAATAATCTTGTCATAATCAAACAAAATTAATCAATAGTATTATATATATATATATATAT